GAATTTATAGCGAGTAGTATCCGCTACCTATATATCACGCACATTTTCTTTATTCTGTAATCGCGGTCTCGTGACTTATGCACAGGATTTTAGCTAGATATTTTCAAGTTCTTTTTCTTTTTCTTGATATACCCCACCTAGAGAGTCACGCGCCATCCTTAGTCATACATCATCAGAGGCCCTAAATGACGTTGGTACCCATATAGACATCTGTATACCTAGTCTATTCCTGTTTCCTTACCTACCACCTCAGGATAGGGATCAGTAGTATTGATCAATTGTAAATGACCGAGCATTTAAATACTCAGATAGATATATCACTGAAATGAGGAATGGAATTCTTCTTTGCAATGACGACCAGGGCTACTTCTGCAACATCCTAACTGATCTACACTTTATTAGTCTCTTTAGGAAACTAATAACATGGAATAATTACGGAGATTGGGCGGGTAATCCCGTGCTGGGTCTCTATAGTGAGGGGTTGGCTCTTGAATGGAGATAGATCTTATCTGAGATACGTATAGTAGATATCGTACTCCTAAACGCTAATCTACTTAATAATTGGACACTGACTGGGATATTCACTGAACTAAGGACAATGTATCACACAATGAATTTATTTATCAAAGATCAGTCAAGAAAAATTTGTGAATTTGGAAACAAAGAGTTTCAAGGTCACGTGATGGGAATGAATATGATTCGACCTCGTAAGGTCTGACTCTATCGAAAACGGGTCCACTGAGGCCAGATTCTCTAATACCTTATACCTTAGGTACCTAGAAATGCAGCTGTGGAGGTACCTAAACTCACTCCAACATGCCAGTGACTTATCTCAGGTCCCTACCTAGTACCACCTACGGCAATCAGTAGCACCGACTGCCTGGCTCAGATGAGACCCTAAAGTTCTAGGTACGACGGCGGCATTCTCCCTATATTGTTCCTCCCCACACAGCATGAGTCCACAACGGGTGGTAAGTTACATGATTATAACATTCATTAACGACTTCCATTACTTTTTCATCTCATAAGCCGATGAAGATGGCATACCTATCACCACAGCCGGCAATCGCCTTGCCTCCTTCCATCACCTTTGACTCTATCAGACTACTCACGAAGCCGACGGCATGTTTGGAATGCTCTAGAGTCCAGAGCACCGGCGAATCGGGAATCTCTAATGTTCTTGTCGTGTTCCTCAATGGACTCATCGCACCCCAGTCGTTTTGGCTACCAGTCATATCTCTTATGACGCGCCATCTCAAAATGGGCGATTCCAGCATCAGCAGTAGTGCATCTCGACCTCAGATGCTAGCTTATGATCGCTACGGTCAAGGTAGGACAATAGATCGTGATCCAGGCGACGAGGGCAAGGAAGAGGGCTATGGACACGATACGCTCGATGTTGTACACGACTTACATCAACTTATCAGCCAAACAAAGGAAGACTCGGATGACCAACCGAAATGCCTCATGTTTGTCGCTAATTCGATCGGATGTGCTATCGCTCGCTTGTACGCGCAGCATTATCCTGGTACCGTAGCTGGCATGCTGCTTCTTGACAGCATTATGGCCAACACGGATTTTGTCAGCATATTCCCTGATCCGGACGGCCCTGATTTTGATCCCGGGTTATTGCCGCAAGACGTCACACCCGAAATGCTACATGAGACGCGCAAGAAATTCCGTGAAGTCTTCCACCCCAGCGTGAAAAATTCTGAGGGCCTGGATCGGCGCAACTTGACCGCGTTATTGCCCGACGCAGACGGGCCTTCCCTCGAGCAAGGATTTGCTGGGAGGGCACCATTTGTGACGGTGGTTGGCCATGACCCTGACTGGTTTGCTAGGGAGAGCCTTCAGGGTTCTATGGAGACACCAATTTCCATATCCATGAACTACACAAACCCTACCTGGCATCATTATAACGAAGGTCTGACGAAACTGACGAGGCCGGAGAAGGCATCGGGTCCGATTATCGCAAAAGATTGTGGTCACTTCATTCAGAGAGATGACCCAACTCTTGTGGCCGAGCTAGCATGCAAAATGCTTGGGATGATCGCGAAAGCGTCGTAATCGGAAGCGCATTCCCACCGTCGTCGCCGGCATCGGGGATTCATCTATATAAGATCTAATATAGTTGACACAAGAATCGAGCAACTTTTAAAGGAGGTGGAACGTCCGGCACCATGCCACGGCGCGCCGGAGCGAAGCATATTAACCTTCTCTAGGTACACGTGTATGTTGGGCAACCGTCCCGTCGGGAGCGCAAACTTCTACCCTATTTAGTCAAAATTGACGCGAAAGTAACACAATGACGACTATGGGCATGCTCACAGGAACGGGCACATACATAGTTAATCAGAATTTGTATTACATACTCCATCTTGAGCTAATCGGACCCAGTATCATAGCGTCAAGACGAATAAGCCTCGCGGAATAAACGGCCTTTGCTCGTTTATACCTTAAATTCAGGTATGGACCCCGGATAGCTAGATGACCAAATGATTTATCAGAATGCATCCTCAGTAACTTACTTGGCTTGCTACAGCAGGTTTTAGGTCTTGTTGTGTGCTGGCAATATCCCTGCGAACGAAATTCGAGACCTCGATTCTCTTTGTTCTGGCCTTACTCGCTTGGTATCAAAGTAGTTATCCGCCGGGCATAAAAAGGGGTGCAGGTCTATATCTAAAGGCTCAAATGCCACGAACAAGTTCCTGTATGGTCTCCAGAAAGCTTATAGGGTTTGAAGTCATTCTCGCACAAGAAGTTTCAATATGCCGAGCCTGAACAAGCCAAAGACCACAAACTTCTCCAACGTCCAGTTCACGAACTATCAACCTGCGACAGCTGTCGACTTCAGCACTGTGCAGGCCATCAGTGCGGCGACGTTGGATAATGTCCAGTTCCGGAAGCTCGAGAAGCCAAAAACGGCGAAGAAGAAGAACAAATGAGGCCTCTCCGAATCCTCAGGGGTCAGTTCCGCTTAATGCCGGATCATCTGGTCAGGCGTCAAGGGGACTGAGAGTATTCAGGTATCTAGCGAATGGCGCGTGAGTCTCACGTCTACAAAGTACTGACTCTTTATTTTACTAATGCCAGAGACAGTATCCTGAAATATTTGGCTGAGCATAAACTTGGCTTCTTATATCGACCTTGAATCGCTACTCGTGGTGATGGAGCTTGTGGCCTCGGCGTGCTTCTTTACTTTTCGTTGTTTGATTCTTGCTTTCTTTGGTCCTGAGCATTTCTAAGACCTAGGGGTGGTTTCTCTATGTATTGTTACCAAGGTTATCGGCGGCTTGCTGGTCGTGGAAGAAAAGTACTAGGTAGCAGTCTAGGGTTTAGGATTGGAAATTTTTGGGAGTGGCACACGTTTTAGTATCTATCTTTGGCAATCCAATGCTTGTTCTTGGATGTTCCCGTCTTTGGCAGACTACATAATTCCCATCCCTTTCGTCTTCAAATCACACCATACATTAGGTTAAATCAAAACTCCGTGTATCTATGTACTTGTCCACCTCGTCTACATTGTGTAGATACTAGTATCAGAGTAGGACAACCATCTTGCGAATAAGTTGGCGCCAAACATTTGTTGCTAGAGTTTAATAATGGAAATAATCGGCATAGGTTGATGATGAATATGGCTCGTCGTGGGATTGTGCATACTCGTAACGTTTTCTGCAACGACAGGTTGGGCTGGTCCTGGTCGGTCCTGGTTATTCTCGATTCGGCCACTACGGACTGCAAGCTCAGCCGCTAGCTCTAGGACTCTCATTTCTCGTTCGTCGGATGGGCCAGACGGACATCGGCCGTGGACGTCCCAGAAACCCATAGCTCTAACGGTTACTGGGGTGAGAGTAGTATGAGGAGAAGGGGGTGACCTGTTCGTCACATGAATGGTAGCTGCTAGGACATATCTCTGTAGGAACTATGTAACGGTAGTAAGGGGCTAAATTACATTTCATCTAAATGAGGCAAATGCCGTAATTTCCTTAGTCTCTAGCTTGATAGTACCATGTTCTTCGAGCGAATACATTGTGCTTTAACTAAGATCGCCATGGTTATTTAATAAGTCCATTATACTCTTGCGTACAAGCCCCAGCCTAAGAGAGCTAGGAAGTACTTTCCATATGCATCCTCATCTTTTCTCATACCCTGTAGAGACAACGATATAGGACTACGAACCTGAACACTTGAATTCATAAAATATATGCTAGCTCTGAAGGCTCATTGATAGGACCTTTTGTTTCCAATTCTTTGGCAACTAGCCATTGAAATCTAAAGAATGGAAAAAATAGAACTGTACCATCTCTCGATTTGAATTTCCATGGCAATTACATGGAACCCGCAGAAATGAAGAGGCTCGTTACGGGAGTCGGCAACTCAATGACTAAGAGCAGCATCAGTGGTTTAGTGGTAAAATCCATCGTTGCCATCGATGGGCCCCGTGTTCGATTCACGGCTGATGCATACGGTTAACTTACTTGATTGGACTCATATGAGTCTTTCTCATGAAACTTTCTTTTTTTTCTTTGTTTTATTTGTCTCTAATTGCGTTCGTAGGAATAGACACCAAACATAAGCAAATGCAGAGTGTAAAACATTTATTTTGTAGGCCTTATCAACAACTAACTGCGTTTCCCATAGAACATGATCTTGAGGTTAAAGTTACTCATAAACTTTTAAGAATAGGTTTGCAAACACTAAGGTAGGGTTATGCGTAATGTAAAAAGGCAACTGGCTGAAAACTCTGCGAATAGTAGAGGCGTATATCCAGCGGAGTACTTTTTATCCTGCAAAAAAGTAGAAAACGCGTTGGCTGCTTTTTATAGTAATAGTAAGTGGCAAATATGCCATCCTATGATTTCGTCTCGTTAAACCACACAACACCGCAGGTCTTTATTTAGACCACACCATGAATCTTCAGACCACATCCGACTCTTCGAGGAGCTATTCCAAAAAGGAAAACGACTCCCTTGCCCATAAGGAGAGTAAAAAGATACTGCTGATTTTGCCCGGACTTGAACCGGAGACCTTCAGTGGGCACATCGTGAAGCCATATTTGTAGCTTCATTCTGTTAGACTGACGTGATAACCGACTACACCACGAAACCATATGATTTGATGAGGATGCGGCTCCGTAAGTTGACTTCTATGACTCGGGGATAGTATGGGTCGGGAGGGTCTGCGAGTCTGGTTTAATTCTACTGGCTGCGTTCAAACGAGACTAGGTAGATAGAAATTTGTCGTATCCACTCCTTAAAGGAAATAAATCATAGATTATAGCAGTTTGTTGTTATCAACATAGCACTGTCGGGTGTGTGTAGTGTATAGTGTGTAGTTCATCTCATATCTGTGCGTTGGGTGACGATTTGGTCACTTGATTACCCCTGGGTTTCCAATCCAGAGATATCCAAGTTGAGATTGCACATCATTGCCTACTTTGTATCCAGCGTATCAGATTCAAGCAGATATCATGGCTGGTATGCATCATGCGGGGACGTTCTGAGACTTTGGAGAACTACAAGTAGCTACCTACTTGATTGCGTTAAGGCTTCGAGGTCGCATGATCATGTCTCACTAGAGTGTGCGCTCCCGGTGTTCTCCTGCTACACTACCACTTGAGTTGAGTTAGGTATATGTTTTATTAAGAACATGGCTAGGAATTTCTTACTGTTGTGTGTATCTAGTATAGTGTCCTATACTGTATGTACACTAGTGTATCCGAATCTGAATTAGAAGCCCTTATTCCAGGTGGATCGTTGATTGAAATATTCAAACTATTCCTTCCTAGGTCATATTTCTTGGCGACTAATCTACTTTAGTTGACAGGGCACAGGCGATTGCCCGTTGCGGCGAGCACATGTCGCTCATTGGCTGCAACCTTGCTATCTCCAACTGCACAACGTGCAACATGTGCGCCCCCATAAACTTTTCAAGGCGATGGAATATATCATGCTGGACGTCGTAAGTTCGCGTCACGTTCTTGGTAATCTGGGTATTACAGCCATGGGTTCATGGCTACCTGTGTGGTTGTCATATATTCATAAAGGGGGGAGGGTCTACGCAAGCGTCTCGAGGTCCTCTTTGTTCTCCTCTCTCGTATGACACTAAGCTCACTTATACCTTCTGCTAAAACTTTAGACGCCAACGCGATCATCTCTAATTCAATATCATTGACTGAAAGCTCGTCAAAACTTCAAACTCAGATCAGGGGACTGAGGGAAACATACTGAAACCTAAGATGCAACTATTAGCGATTATGATAACTGTCCTCGGTGCAGTCTCCGCACTCCCTGGATCACTACCTGTGATCACGGCCGCACCCAAGTTCAAGAGCCTTTCGGCCCAAGTGCCTACGAACCAGAGCTCAGCTGCTTGCACGTCGACAGACTGCTGGGCAGAGTACGCCGAGTGCTATGGCTCTTTGACTTTCGTCTACCTGTACACACCCCTTCCGACGTTCTCTAGAGCGTGACTAATAGATTAATTTAGATGCTATACCCCTCCTCCGTGTGGAACCGCCACATCTCCGGATCCATACATCTGCCCACCCCGTACATCGTCCGCGACGCCTTCCACTTTTTCCACGTCTGCGGTTTCTAGCATATCCGCCACCAAAGTAGCTTGTACGGCCGCGGCAGTCTCTGCTTCTTGAGTCTTATCGGTAGGCGTTATAGGAGCTTCGGCGCATTGGCAGAGCTCTAATTTGATACAGTCTTGGGGTCTATGCCATTTCATTTAGAACATATGAAAAGAGTTGGCGAGGGTATCACGATACCAGCCTGGCGCTTACGGGTAGCCCAGGGAAATCCGGGGAGGGCGGATAGATGGAGACGAGCTATTTACAACTCCCGAAGACGGATAAGGCTCCCGTGCTGTTGGATCAAAAGGCTTGGGGCAAGTTATTGACGCTTCTCTGTGGCTTATTTGTTAGCTTAATTAAGGAGCACAAGATCTATAGGTAAAAGCAAGAGTATTACTCCAGTGGGGCCGCTTTGTGAACACCCGGGAATGTGATGGAACTGAGAGAGAGAGAGACAGAGAGAGATGGAATTGAATGAGTATAAGAAGTAGTAACAATACTCCTGACAATCAACTTCCGGGCCTTCCCGAGATCTTACTGGCCCCCTTTTACCCTCCCTTTCGCCGCCGTTACCAGCCCGCCTGACTATAGTGGTGTGTTTCGGGCATCCCTCAGGATTTTGACGAACTGCGGGGTATCTTTGGTTCTCTGAAGGCCACGCTTTAGTCGTATAAGCTCGGCGGTGTTGACGAGGGACCCCTTGATAAGGAACTGGTCCTTGTCTATAAGGTCGATATTAGAAGCCTCTATCTCACTCAATACCCCTATTATAGCGTTGGCGGCCTTACTTTAATACCGAATCGTCAATAGTGGCCTGATACCTAGCTTCTCAATAACTATTCATAATAATAATAATAATAATTAAAAACTTATAAAGATCTAGTTAAAACTACTGACTCGTAATCTTTAAAATAAAATCGTGTTTTCTCAGATGTTTATCTGTTTTAATAACTACTCCTTGTACCTTGAGGCTTGAGACGCAACATGGCTTACACTTATAATGGCATAAAACCTTTCCTATCAGAGGTATTGATGCCCATACGAACTCTGCCCAAATGATTGCTCTTCTCTTTAAACTCGTACAGCAGATCTAGTTTCATCACCCTCTGATCTCTTTCTTTTCTCTTCAATATGCTTAGCCTGTCGAACCGTTCAAGCATGGGAGAATCGGAGATATAGTATATAGCTCCAGCAATGCTCCTCGGGTCGGCCGTCATCTATGGCCATTTAATAAATAAAGATGCAACTATAACGACGATCATAAAAGATAAAATTCCAACCGATATCCAAATGCTTATCTGGAAAACTAGGAATGTTTGCGTAACCTGAAAAGGGATTTGTCGGTGGTGCTAAGAGGATAGATCTGTTTGCACTCTGAAGTCTGCTGGCCAAGAGCTGATAGGGGCTTATGACGGCAACACCTTCACTGCGTCAGTATCGCTCAACTTGCTGACCCGTCAAGTGTTAGTCACTTACTATCAAAAAAAGAAGACCAAAGGAAGCTTATCACGACACCAAAGGTTGTAAATAGGAATCGTACACCAAAAGAATCACTATCGATAAACCTCTCAAATGCTGTGTCACTTGAGGTTTGAGAGTAGTAAAGAACTAGAGCCAGCACACCACGGATCATAAAGAGTAGGGATAATCTTCGGAGATAGCCCAACGTAAAAGGTTTTGCAGATGGTTGCCTTTTTGAAGATGCACCGGTCTTGGGTTTGTTGGCGGGGGGAACAACTCTGTTATCGCTATCGTACGCGTGTCGGGACTGTACCTCGTTCGGTTCATCTAGCGTTACGATACCGTATTCTGTCTTCCTAGTTGTCTGTTGGAAGTGCCGCAATTTGAAATTTTTGCGTCCCAGCAGGTCATGGCGCTGGTCTCCGAGGGGGGTCTCCGTTCCAGCAACAAGTTGCTGAACCTCCTTATTCAAAGAGAGCGAAGCGAGTGTGCAAATGCTTCGAGGGTTCGTATAAACCCCCAAGTGCCACTTCCTGAGTATACCAAGCAATAGTACTAGTGTAAAGGCCATGAGCACTAGGATGGCGATGGAGGCCCCTGATGCATAGGGTGAAGCGCTGAGGACCCAGGCGCAGTTCTTCGCTGTGTTGGCCTCGTTTGTGCATCCCCCCCTTAGATCCAAAGAAATAGCTTCGGAAGATAGGGGAATCAGCACCGCCGAGAGTATTAGCAAAAGGTTCGCCAGGAAAGGGACCACTTCTCCACTCGACACAGATCGAACGCTTCTGAAAATGGATCGCCAACCACCGGGCTGAAGGAAAAGCGAATCACGGCCAGACGCACCATGACTATAAGTAAGCGAATGCCAGGGTTAGAAATAATTAGCGTTTGTGCTGATTATTCGTATAAACATTGCTATTAAACTAGTCTTGCAGAAATGTAAACCCTATAGTCACGTAATCCACACTGCTATATAAAATAATCTGCTTAAATAAACTAACAAAAATTACACACATTTATAAACTACTTAATAAAGCACTATTTATACTTTGTAAAAAGCGCTACTTTGTTATAGTTATAAGCCCGGTTCACATTTTTCGAGTTAGCTACAGCGCTTACTAAAAGCTGCTAATTTATTAGTTAACTGCGTATATAATTGCTAACAAAAAATAGCTTATTTAATTGTTTTACTGCTAATTTTATTATATTTTTTAATTTAAAAAGCATTTTAATACTTTTTATGTTATAATTTAAGTGCACTACCAATTAAACCACCAATTAAAGTATGTTCTCTTTAATTCTGTCTGCCTATATCATTATAATTTATCCAAGTGTGCTCCGCACACTATTCTTTGTTTTTACAAGCTTTAGTTTTGTATAAGACCTACTATACGGAATATATATTATATTGTACCTAACTTTAAAAAACTTTTTAAACGTGACATTTCATAAGCGTTTAACTTATTTTAAACTTTTATTTTTAAACTAATTAATATATTTATTTATATATTATAATGCAATATTAAAATTTATTAAGCTATATAATTATAAACTAGCTGTTTTTATTAAATGCTTTTATTATAAATATGTTTAAAACGTTTATAATAAAAAGCGTTTAAAAGCAAAAAAACGTAAAGCATTTACAAAAATATAAAGCTTGGTTTATTAAATAAAAAGCTTTTTTAAAAAGCTAAAAAGCAACGCTTAAAACTTTTAAAATGTTTATGCAGCAAAAAGTTAATAAGCTTTTAAAAACTAAACAAAAAAGCTATTTTAATATTTTTATAAAATAATATATACGTTTAAAAAGCTATAATAAACTTTAAAAATAAATTATACAAACTATAAATTTAACGCTTTTTTTATTAACTTTTATAAAACTTTAACTTATATAATGCATTTTTTAATTAAACAGGTTATTTAATTAAACAAGTTATATTTTACTACTTTTGTACGCATATAATAAAATCTTTTATTTTTTTTTAACAACAATAGTTAAGTTATATAAAAAAGCTAATATACAGCTTGCTTTTTAAGCTTGCAAAATTAACTTGCGTTTATTTATCC